AAAGACGAAATGAGTATTTCTAACTTAATTGAAGAAATATTCAATAATGTAGAAACGAACTAAGTACACGTTTTAATCATTTTATTATTCTTTATGTCAGTGTTTTTAATTCACCGTTGATTTAACGAAAAACAGGAAGACATTCTTTTCTTTCAAGTACACAGAGAATAGGAAATGAAATCAGCTTTAAGAATAACGAAATAAATAACTGTACTAATTAATTACAAGAATCTGCATATCTTAATTTTATCTTTGCCTTTCTTTTCCTTATTACAAAATGTTCTTTTAGAAAAAAAATGTAAGTTTTATTTCCTTTTAGTACATTTTAAATTCAAAAGTTTTAATTGCCTAAACGAAATTTTTTTGATATATCTCAAACATTATTATAAAAATCGTTCTTGAAAGTCAAAATAAAGTTTTAAAGAAACTAAACTGAAAGGCTAAATTTTTAAATTTATTTTCCTGCTGATATTTAAATTCCGCTATGTGTTACAAAATTCAGTTATTTCTTTCAACTTGAATCATTTTCTTGCCTTTAGATATTTTCGCGGTTTAAAATAAAATTTCTTTTTTAAACATATCTAAAACACAGTATATTTGTCATTTTTTTAAACTTTTCTTCAGTAATATTTAGGTTTACTCAAATATAATAGTTTTACTTCCCCCCCCCCCTTTAGTGACGACTTGGCGACATCTAGACGATTTTCAATAAAATTTCAAGAGTTGTTAATCGGTGTTTAACTGGATTTCTGATTGAATATTTACAAATTCAATAGCAATTTCTGATTGTCTCTGGAATGTCGAACAATTTAAATTATATTTTTTTCCAATTATGAACCATATCTTTTTTCGTAAATTCCGCTATTGTGAGTATGGCTTATTGTTTCACTGTTTATTCCTTGAAATCAGAACAAGAACCTAATTCTCCTTAAAACTTGCACGTTATTTATGCTTTTAATAATCATTTTTTTATTTTAGTATTTTAACAACCAAATAAATGGTTTGCTTTTTTCAAACCGTGCACTAAGAAAAAAAGTGTGATCAAAACTAATAGAATAGGGTAAAATTTACGGCGCTTCAGGCTCTATAGAAACATCAAAAAGTTCGGTAACTTTTACCATGGCTCTTTGATAACGATTTTGATGAAATCAACAAAAATATGGTTCTATAATGTATTATAAAATTTGGTTAATGTCATGACATTTAGTAATTTTACAACGCCTTAGAGCACGGCATAAAAGTCATTTATTAGGTTACATTTATTTTTCAATTTTTTATTTTTAAGTAAATGTGTGGTAATAAGACCTATAATTTTAAAAATCAAAATTTACGGTAAACCGTTACTATATGAGCGAAAAAACTACGAAATGAATGGTTTAAATACCGTATGTTTTGGTTTTATTAACCATAAAGTTTTTTTTTACCAGAAATGTAATTACCATATAGTGATTACCATACAGAAATTTTATCAGAATTTTTTTCTACCTGTCTGCTATACTAAAAATAATAAAGTCATGATTAAAAATTTTAAAACTAAATTAAATATTAAGCAATCTTAGGCAACGTCAAGATAGATTTAAGAAGGACAAAACACACACAATCTCGCTACATTTTCATACACATTAACCCTTCAAATTAATTCCTGCAGATTACATTGTTTGGTAAATCCAAATAGGTTCTTAACTCGGCCATATTTGATGAAATTACCATGAAGGCTCTAAGTAAGCTAAAAATTGAAGATACCTCAGGCGCTAAACAAACGTGTACTCAGGAAACTAAAACAATTCGTTAATTAAAATCTTGCAAGGTTATTACATTGTTTTCATGAAAATCGTTGACAGAATTCCGAGAATTGTCCGTTAAATATTCATATAAAAGTAACGTAGAAGTAGAACCTAGTTTAGAACAGGAAATAAAATACGGAATTCCTTACTTTCGTAGATCTTTAACTTTGAATTAGGGAAAGATTTTTGCCATTCTACAGTTTAGGGATAAATATGGGCATCTTATAGCGATTTTTAGTATAATAAAGCATAAAAACATTGATTCACATAATTTATTTTATTTTTAGCATGCTATGAGAATTTAAGATTAAATTAGGGGAATATTTCTCGAGACATTATGAAGTTTAGAGATAAGTATGAATATCTTATAAAGGCAATTTTAAGTATAAATAAAACATAAAAATATTAATTTATATAATTAAATCTATTTTTAAAATAATTTTATTTATAAACAAAACATAATTTTTTTTCTTTATAAATCAACATCGAAATCAATGTTTACTGTTTCAGGTTTTATATTTTTATTGTTAGAAATGTTTTTATATTGCTACTTTAAGTAAATGTTTAGAGTAATAAAGTAAAATGAAAACAAACGCATTATTTCTCGATTAATAAAGTGTTTAATTCCTAAAAGTATACGATTTGTGCTAAAATTTAAAATGGCTCAGTTAAAATCTTGCACGGATTATTGGCTCTTTCCTGACCTTTTAATGAAGACTTCTAAAATCTCTAGTATCTGAATGTATGGTTGATATATCCAAAGAGGGTAAGTTGTAAAACACAGATATTTAAAAAAGATGTATTAGGTTATTACATTGTTTTCATAAAACTGTTTGACGGAATTCTAAGAAGTTTTAATTTAATAATGATAAAAAAGTAATAAAAGTAAGTAAGTAAGTAAAAGTGTTAAAGTAAGACCTAGTTTAAAACAAGAAATAAATTTTCTAACTTTCGTTAATTTAGCGGAATATTTCTGTCAACATTTATAAATTTAGGTAAGAATATAGATATTATATAAAAATAAAAACTTTTAACTTTTCAAAGTGAAGTTTTACAAAATTTAAAAATGTCATCANTCATATAAAGGCAATTTTAAGTATAAATAAAACATAAAAATATTAATTCATATAATTAAATATATTTTTAAAATAGTTTTATTTATAAATCAACATAATTTTTTTCTCTTATAAATCAACATCAAAATCAATATTTACTGTTTCAGTTTTCATATTTTTATTGTTAGAAATATTTTTATATTGTTACTTTAAGTAAATGTTTAGAGTAATAAAGTAAAATGAAAACAGACATTATTTCTCGATTAATAAAGTGTTTAATTCCTAAAAGTATACCATTTGTTCAAAATTTTATTGTTAGATATGTTTTTATATTGTTACTCTCTAAGTAAATGTTTAGAGTAGTTAAATAAAATGAGAAAAAACGCATTATTTCTCGATTAATAAAGTGTTTAATTCATGAAAGTATACCATTTGTTCTAAAATTTAAAATTACTAAGTTAAAATCTTGCTAGGTTATTACATTGCTTTCATTAAACAGGTCGACGGAATTCTGAGAAGTTTCAATTTAATATTAATATAAAAGTAATGTAAAAGTAAGACCTAGTTTAAAACAAGAAATAAAATATGAAATTTCTAACTTTTGTTAATTTAGCGGAATATTTCTGTCAACATTTATAAATTTAGGTAAGAATATAGATATTACATAAAAATAAAAACTTTTAACTTTTCAAAGTGAAGTTTTACAAAATTTAAAAATGTCATCATTAAAAAATTACAGGAATCCGAAGCAGAGGACTTGGTCACAGAACCTTTTATCACTGTCTCAGCAGATTTTCTTAAAATGTACTACAGATTATTTTTCGAATCAGATTCTCTAAAAACAGAAAAAAAAGATTAAGAAATGTTCAAAGAAAAACAGCAAAATAATTTTTAATTCCTAAACATACTAAATCATTATATTTCGAATTTACGTGGAAATTTAAACGAGAAATGTTTTTTTTTTAAATAAAACTATTGATTTCTAAAAACTTTGGTCTGAAGACTGTTCAGACAACTTTTAGCAACAAAATTTTTTATGTTTGAGTCTCATCTACTATATGTATATCTACTAATCATCTACCAATTGATATTTTACTGTAATATTCATGATCGATTAAGCCTAATTTTAAAAAATAGCCTCTGTCAAAAATATTCTCTGTTAGGATTGCAGATGCATTTTAGTTTATTGAAATGGAGCTGCTGATTGACGCTGTGTATTCTGCTACCACACTTAAAAAAAATTCCTGATCAAATTACTGTAAAAAAGGAGACCCTGATAGTAGCATCCGTAAAATACATATTTACCGTAAAATTGCATACAGTAATTTTTATAGTAATATTTATTTAATTACAGTGATTTTGCAATTGGTATTACGTTGAGAATTACAGTAACTGTAATATTTATTTACTTACAGTGATTTTTCAATTGATATTTCTCTAAGAATTACTGTTAATCGGATTTTTTGCTTCGTGAAATTTTATGGTAAAAATGAGTTTTACGGTAAAAGATACCGAAACTCAAGGTGCCAGTACTTTTTACCATTATTCGTTCTGGAATTTTTTACAGAGCAGTACAATGGAAAATTTTATATTAATGTAAAATAATTTTTAAATAATCTTGTTTCTTCTATTTAGGTAAATATAACTCTAAAAAGCAAATACTAGCAATTTAAAAAAAATCTTTTGTTGTACATTTTAAATTATACAAATTCTTTTGTTTAACTAGGAGAAATTGCACGGATTATTGGCTCTTTCCTGACCTTTTAATGAAGACTTCTAAAATCTCTAGTATCTGAATGTATGATTGATATAGATCAGGGCTAAAGAGAATAGAAGGGCTAGTTCACTCCTTTGAAGTAGCTCTCGCCGCGCCAGTCCGAAGATTTTCTCTAGTGACGTCACTTTGGCGCAAAGCTCGCCCTTTTACTTCAAGAACGCAGCGTTCGGCCTTACTAGTTCTAACTAATATTGGAGCATTTCTTTTTGCGAGATATTCTAAGACATTTATTATTTTCTATAATGACTTTCCTCAGTTTTTGCAGTGAATTTACANTTGTTTCTTCTATTTAGGTAAATATAACTCTAAAAAGCAAATACTAGCAATTTAAAAAAAATCTTTTGTTGTACATTTTAAATTATACAAATTCTTTTGTTTAACTAGGAGAAATTGCACGGATTATTGGCTCTTTCCTGACCTTTTAATGAAGACTTCTAAAATCTCTAGCATCTGAATGCATGATTGATATATATAAAGAAGGTAAGTTGTAAAACATAGATATTTAAACAAGATGTATTAGGATTGTAACTTTAGAATGTGACCCAGACTACGCCAACATTAACTTCTACGCCCTTGTGGTAAAAAATATAATTAAATGTATAAAATGACTATTTCGAAAGCTTTAACATTTCTTTTTTTTATTTCATTATGTAGTATTTTTAAATATTCTCTATAAATCTTTATGTGATACTTTTTACAACAGTGTTAGATGTAAATATTTTAAAATGATGACCAATCCAGCTTGGGAGGCCCTACCATTAGCTACGCTATCCCCTACATAGCTCAGTGGTCCCTTTCCACAACAACACCAAAAGGAGGGAAGTTGACTTGAACAATTTTTCATTTGACTCACTTACATTAAAAAGAATCAATATTTACAAGCTGTACAAATTTTGAAAAACAAAATTAATTTTTAGTTGCATTGTTAATGTTAACAAAGCAGAATGCAGTCAATTTTTCAAAATTTCTTTGTAGTTCCCATTGTCAAATTAAGTAGGAGTTTTGAAACTGCAATTAATAGCAACCTGTATTTTAACATAACTTACATATGTTTTAAAATAATTTACCATTTTAGTTGAGATTTTAAATAAAATATATTGAAATTTAAATGTAAAAAGATAATAGATAAAACAAAAAATTACACAAATGAAATTTTTTCTTCATAATTAAGCTTTTGGTTTAAAATTCTAAAAGAACTTGAAATTAATATTAAAAATAAAACATAGTTTAGATAATGAACATCATTTAGAATATGAAATTAACATTTCATATTCTAAAATCTTCTAAATGTATTATTACCCGAAATCCGATGCTGAGATTATATTTTATCAGCATAAAAATCAAATTACTTCTTAATGTTATCTGTATTAATAATTCCTTATTAAGTAGAAGTAGGAAGCAGCATCATGAAAAAAATGTACTTGAAGTGTAATAATAATATGATTGTGAACAGATGATAGATAAAATAACAAATTACACAAATAAAATTTTTTCTTCATAATTAAGCTTTTCCTTTAAAATTCTAAAACAACTTAAAATTAATACTAAAAATAAGACATCGTTTAGATAATGACCATCATTAACATCATTTAGAATATGAAATTAGCACTTCATATTCTAAAATCTTCTAAATATATTACCCGAAATCCAACGCTGAGATTAGATTTTATCAGCATAAAAATCAAATTGCTTCTTAATGTTATCTGTATTAATAATTCCTTATTAAGTATAAGTAGGAAACAGCATCATGAAAAAAGTGTACTTGAAGTGTAATAATAATATGATTATTTGAAATTTAAAAATTTGATTACAGTATTTCAAATTAATGTGTATGTTAATATAGCATTTATAACCGTTATTAAAAGCCTCAATTTTTAAAGTGGTTTTAGTTTTCAAATTGAACTGTCATGCTGTAAAGTTGAATAAAAGAAAAAAAAATCCTAAATAAATTTGATTATGTAAAATAATTTATCAAATTGCAGCAGTTATAATTTTAAGTATGAGATGGAAAGATTTTGTGTAAATGAATTATAATTTATACTTCGAAAATTTGAAATATATAAGTATTTAAAATGCTGAGATTATATTTTATATTATTTCTGAGATTATTCTGTTTAAGATACCTGTAATAAAATATTTTTTGGAAAACTACGTTCGAAAATTTGAAATATATAAGTATGTAAAATTAAACAGATACCTGTAATAAAATATTTTTTTGGAAACTTTCAAACATACTCCATAAATATATAAGACTTTAAGTTAAATATTTTGAATACTTAAATAAATTTTAAAACCATTTACATTAATTGTTTTGGCACATACGTTTGATCTAATAAAAATAAAGTACTATCATGAAATGATAATGAATAGTGTTTTAATTAGACGTTTTTTAAAGCGTGGCATTGTTTTTAATCAATGAATATGTAACTAAAATGTCATTATTAATAACCATTGTTTAAAATTTTAATAACGTCATTTCGTTTTCAAATTAATCTATGTTTATAAAGCAGAAGAAAAGGTACTAATTATATTCAGATATGGTAATGTGTAATATTTTCATGAAAATTAAATATTTTACAAATAAATGAACTATGCGAGAAAATTGGTATTGTACATGCTTTTCTGATTTCCATAAAAATGATTTTATGGAATAAAAAAATAACGTATTTAATTTGGCAAGCTTAATTAGTTTTGGAAGAAAAGTCTTTTCTCCGCGTTATAAAAATAATTTTATAAGTTACATTGTTTGGAAATGTTTTAATTAGGCAAACCTAATTAATTTTAGCTTTTATCAAAGAAGTCGGATTATAATTTTAAAAATTATTTTTTCTCAAGGAAACGAAGAGTCACTTCAAAAAATCGTTTTAATTAAATTTTATTGATTACTAAATATGCTCTCTTCAAAAAAAAATATTTATTTTTAATAAAATAGTATATTCAATTATTAAAAAATTTAGACAGCAAATAATACACAAGAAGTAATACACTAGATTGGTTTGAGTAGTTTTACGAAATATGTAATTATAAAAGTTTATTATTTAATTAAATTTCTCAAAAATTAAATAGACATTAATTTAATGTAACAAAATTATGATGAATAACTTTAAATTGAAATTCTTAATAATTTTAATTAAATAACGCTTTAAATGTTATTTTACTACGTTTTGATGTATGAAAAAATAATTTTGTAAGCATAATTTTTTATTAGGAAATATTAACCGTTAAAAATGGCATTTCAACTCAAATTAGAGAATATTCTTCGTTTAACTTATAGCTATTTTATGTGATTAACTACTTGAAAATATTTTTTTTGTTTTATGCTTGATTTGTTGATTTTTGAGCTTTAAAGAGTACTGAATAAATTTTTATATTCAAAGTACATTTACGGAGTTTAAACTCATGTTTATAGAGAAGAGTTTTATAAAATTACTGTTTTTTTCATTTATTTATTTATGTTTTTAGATTTTTTAAAACTTGTGATGTATTTTAACTTGAACGCAAGATTAGAAATAGACTCTTTTATTAGAAATAAATTTTTATTTATTTTGAAAGATAATTTGTGGATAATTTATTAGTCAGTCAATTACCCAGAGTAGATACTATTTACAATGATATGAAAGAAAAATTCCGAATTCTTAACTGTAACCTAACAATAAAAAAAGCTCGCTTAAAATTGAGTTCATCGTAAATGCTTGCAAGCGAACAATTAAATAAACATTTTTAACTCTAATTTAATCATAATGATAAAATAAAATTTCATAATTCCATAAAAAGTTTGCAATCGTGCTATAAAAATCTCTTTTTTTATGTTAAACATTTTATAGAATGTTAACAAAATGTTATGGTAAAAAGTAAATAAGGAAAGCTAATAATCATTGCTATAATTAAAGCTGAAAAATTTTAGAGAACTACATTAGCTATAACTATATAAAAGTTAAAAATTTAGAGAAAACAAGGAAAAAGGTATAAAGATTTCCCAAGGAAGAGGAAAAAAAATATTAAAAAAATGTTTTTATAAATTAAATTCACAAATTTGTGGATAATTTATTAGTCAGTCAATTACCCAGAGTAGATACTACTTACAATGACATGAAAGAAAAATTCCGAATTCTTAACTGTAACCTAACAATAAAAAAAGCTCGATAAAATTGAGTTCATCGTAAATACTTGCAAGCGAACAATTAAATAAACATTTTTAACTCTAATCATAATGATAAAATAAAATTTCACAATTCCATAAAAAGTTTGCAATCGTGCTATAAAAATCTCTTTTTTTATGTTAAACATTTCGTAGAATGTTAACGAAATGTTATGGTAAAAAGTAAATAAGGAAAGCTAATAATCATTGCTATAATTAAAGCTGAAAAATTTTAGAGAACTACATTAGCTATAAATATATAAAAGTTAAAAATTTAGAGAAAACAAGGAAAAAGGTATAAAGATTTCCCAAGGAAGAAGAAAAAAATATTTTTATAAATTAAATTCACAAATTTAAAAAATTTTAAAATTAGAAAATAGATAAATAAATAAAATAAATTACAAGAAATAGATAATATATAAATTAATAAGAAAACAAAGAAAAAAATATAAAGATTTATCAAGGGGGAAAGGGAAAAAAGTATTAAAAAGTATTTTTAAAAAATACTCACAAATTTAAAAAATTTAAAAATTTAAAAAAAGGTTCTTTTTAATTTTAATAAAAATTTAAAAGAAATTTTTTTTTATAATCGAAGTTATTTTCCTGATTTTAGTTCATTTTCTAATTTTTAATTAATTTACTTTTTTAATTTAAAATTTTTTTAAATTTGTGAATTTAATTTAAGTAATTTTCTTTCTTCTTCTTCCTTGGAAAGTCTTTATATCTTTTTCTTTGTTTTCNAACTATTTTTTAGTAGAATTTTAATAAATAAAACCACCAACACTATCTATGCAATTGAATGAAAAGCTTTGTGGGGATAGCAGTTGTCGATAATGTCAACTATGAAAAGGTATTCCCAACACACAGAATCGAGTTAGCATGTCTTATGTACTGTCGAATTTGAATTGTATTTTTGTAGTGGTAGATGCACTACAGCCTTATCAAGAGTTTGCCTAAAGTAAACCGAATCATTTTTGTCTAGACTTTTTATTTATTTGATTTTTTATGAATTTAACCGGTACTCTGAACACTCCGGATAGATTTGGAGAAGCACAGGTATTATATAATATATGTACACATTATAGAACGTGTATATATGTATATGTGTATATATGTACATATTATAGAGCATGTTTATATGTAAATGTAATCTATCCTCAGCAGATAGTAAAATATCGAATTTATATAATAATAGCAATTAATAAATTAAAATCAAATCGGATATAACTAATATTTCAGACATTCACCAATGAATGTCGACATTCTCTTGATTTTGGTCATTCACAGTAACATATTATATATATGTGTGTGTGTGTGTGTGTGTGTGTGTAATTCAATATTT